ATCGGTATCGGGCGAGTACTGGAAAAAGTGGTATCGGTGCATCCCTAGATAATATATAATGTTAATAAGTATTATTAATATAGGACTATTTATTTTTTTTATCCCACAGGGGAAACGATTAATAATGAGGGGAATAAACTGAACTATCATTGTAATCAACTGTCATCCATACGTATTCATTTTAATAATTTTTATAATAATTAATATGATTTTACATGTGGCCTGAAAAAATCATGTCAATTTTTTGGTTTGTGAGATCGGAGATCGCTCTGCGCACACATACAAACATTCAGGAGGACACAAACTTGTTGTGAACCCTGCCCTGTGACTTTTATTAATAAAATAGCTTAGATACTGAATATCTACATATTCATCAGCAAGGAGAGGGTAAAATCACTGTTTAAGTAACTAAAGTCACATGTTTGTAGAGAGATGCGCTGACGCAGGTTCACACACACACCTCTCTCTCTCTCTCTCTCTCTCTCTCTCTCGATCGAATAATTAATTAAAGTAGCTAAATGTTATAATAAATTAACTCAAATTAATGTGATCTTACCACACTAGTTCATCTGTCTGATCTGAAGTGGGCAGAATACTGAGCTAATGAGCCGTAGCTTCGCGTCAGTCTTGCCTTCACGTAGTTTAAAGCCGTGTATTCGCTCTTTAGCAGCAGTTTTTACGGCAATATTTAATTGACATTCTGACATTCATTCTTTGTGTACTCGAAATGGTCCCACACTATCGTCTTCAGGCATTTCTCTGGTGGAAATAATGGATCGCTTTTTGGTTCCTCTGTCATAGTTCATCTAGTGTGTGTAGTAGCCTCCGTGTCTCTGATAAGCACAGCATTTTAAGCTTGTGCACCGCTAGTGTAACGTTGTTTTCGTTTTGCGCAAGTTGCAACAGTTCCATCTGTGCAACAGAAACTCAGTGTAGCGGAGCCTTTACGATTAATTAACCGTGACATTTTAAAGCGTGGTTAATCGTGAAACCGGTTAATCGCTGCATCCCTAGTTGCATGGGGATTTCTGTGCGGTAACTAAGGTGTTCAGAGTCTTTTTAATGCCTTGCTAAGCAGATACTAGGGAATTCTGGGTGGTTGCTTACTGGACTAAGTCAAAAGGGTCCATCCTCAACTCTTTATAGATATGGCATCAATGTAAATCTATGCAGTTTGTTTGCCTGTTTTGTCTGCCAGGAGGAAAAGTAATTATCTCTTTTTTTATCTCTAATTATAGCTTATTTCTTTGTGGAAGGAATTTGTTTAAATCACTTAATCACACACTCCAAGAATAAGCAATAGTGATATTGATACTTGCTAGCTAAATGTAGAGTGCTATAGACATCAATGAGTTATTCTCTTCATAGTAGGGCTAGTGCCTGAAGCACACCCTGAGATAGAACAGCATGAATCAACAGCTCTGCCCTCTTGACTGGATGGTCTAGTGAGAGGCATGTGCAGGACCGCTGCTGGCCAAATGGGTGCCCTAAGCAGAATTGTACTGTTGTGCCCCCTGTTACAAACCCCTGTTAAGTTTAGCCAGAAAGGGGGATGCAGCATAAAGAGGACACGTGAATCCAAATGCCAGGCGAAAATATTTATTTAAATAACAAAACGGAACATAACACAAATGGAAAACACGTATCCAAACGAAGAAAACGGAAAACACAAATGAACATAGAATAACTAGCAAAGGATAATATACTTCCCCAAACAACGGAGCAACTCCAAAGTATAAAGTCAACAAAAGAAAAACAAATCCAGAATTTAAGAATTAAGAAAAGGGGTAATAAAGCTTGTTTGTTTCCCCGAAATATTATGGAAGTAAAAAAACTAAAAACACCTACTATAAGGGTCAAAATAGAACTTAGGCATTTCTCTGGTGGAAATAATGGATCGCTTTTTGGTTCCTCTGTCATAGTTCATCTAGTGTGTGTAGTAGCCTCCGTGTCTCTGATAAGCACAGCATTTTAAGCTTGTGCACCGCTAGTGTAACGTTGTTTTCGTTTTGCGCAAGTTGCAACAGTTCCATCTGTGCAACAGAAACTCAGTGTAGCGGAGCCTTTACGATTAATTAACCGTGACATTTTAAAGCGTGGTTAATCGTGAAACCGGTTAATCGCTGCATCCCTAGTTGCATGGGGATTTCTGTGCGGTAACTAAGGTGTTCAGAGTCTTTTTAATGCCTTGCTAAGCAGATACTAGGGAATTCTGGGTGGTTGCTTACTGGACTAAGTCAAAAGGATCCATCCTCAACTCTTTATAGATATGGCATCAATGTAAATCTATGCAGTTTGTTTGCCTGTTTTGTCTGCCAGGAGGAAAAGTAATTATCTCTTTTTTTATCTCTAATTATAGCTTATTTCTTTGTGGAAGGAATTTGTTTAAATCACTTAATCACACACTCCAAGAATAAGCAATAGTGATATTGATACTTGCTAGCTAAATGTAGAGTGCTATAGACATCAATGAGTTATTCTCTTCATAGTAGGGCTAGTGCCTGAAGCACACCCTGAGATAGAACAGCATGAATCAACAGCTCTGCCCTCTTGACTGGATGGTCTAGTGAGAGGCATGTGCAGGACCGCTGCTGGCCAAATGGGTGCCCTAAGCAGAATTGTACTGTTGTGCCCCCTGTTACAAACCCCTGTTAAGTTTAGCCAGAAAGGGGGATGCAGCATAAAGAGGACACGTGAATCCAAATGCCAGGCGAAAATATTTATTTAAATAACAAAACGGAACATAACACAAATGGAAAACACGTATCCAAACGAAGAAAACGGAAAACACAAATGAACATAGAATAACTAGCAAAGGATAATATACTTCCCCAAACAACGGAGCAACTCCAAAGTATAAAGTCAACAAAAGAAAAACAAATCCAGAATTTAAGAATTAAGAAAAGGGGTAATAAAGCTTGTTTGTTTCCCCGAAATATTATGGAAGTAAAAAAACTAAAAACACCTACTATAAGGGTCAAAATAGAACTTTAATAAAATATAAAAGTAAATAAATAAATTGTAATTAAATTGTATCATTTACAATTGTAGCTAGACAGTCGCCTATGGTTATGATTTTACTAATACAGTTGTCTGATTGATTTTATAGTCTCAAGCATTCAGAAATCACACAAAAGAAAATTAAGCAGTTTTACTACGATAAAACCATGGTTAATTTTTTGTAAGGGTTGTGATGTCCACATGTTTTTGTTGAAGAAATTATAGAGGCTAGCATTTCTATCGCAAAAAGGTGGCCAAAAATGAAAGATTAAGTGATTATTTGAATTAAATGTTTGGTCAATATTAATGAACACGGATTTGATTGTCCTGTAAGTGTTAAAACAGCAATTACCAGGCCTTTGAAGTCCTTTGTAGGCTTTTGTAATAATATGTAATCTACATACATTTTTATTTTGTATTACATAATGTATTTTAACAGTGTTATTCAATGAAACCATATGATTATTATTAATTAACCAATCATGAACGTACCTAAAAGTGATGCACGGGCTTCATCTTGGGTTTTATTTTTATTTTCTCGGCGCCAGACTGCTGATGTCTTTTCCCGGGCATAGTTATCTATCAATGATCATTTGCAGTCAGCCGCAAACATGAGATGAGGGCGCGGGCACGGATGCGGGAATGGCGCATTACATGTGCTAATGCGTTCATCGTAAAACACATTTTTTATAATTATATATATATATATATATATATATATACACGTGCATCTCAATAAATTAGAATGTCGTGGAAAAGTTCATTTATTTCAGTAATTCAACTCAAATTGTGAAGCTTGTGTATTAAATAAATTCAATCCACACAGACTGAAGTAGTTTAAGTCTTTGGTTCTTTTAATTGTGATGATTTTGGCTCACATTTAACAAAAACCCACCAATTCACTATCTCAACAAATTAGAATACTCCATAAGACCAATAAAAAAAACATTTTTAGTGAATTGTTGGCCTTCTGGAAAGTATGTTCATTTCTCTCTGGCACTGTGTCACTAATTTTCTTCTCCGCAGTCCCTTTCTCCACCTATCCTTTATCACCGTGCTCTTCCCCAGCGTCCAGGCCTGCAGATTCCCGCAGAGAGACAGACATCTCCCACTTAATCAGCTGCTTTGTTTCTTGTTCAGATAAATTGGAGCTTGTTCCTCTTGAGAGGTAGTTCCTGGAGGACGCCACCACCACCCAACAGTATAACAGCCCCACGAGCCCCTGCTTAGTGCACACCAGCATGTGGCGCAGCAGAACATACCAGTACGTTGATTAGTTTGAGAGGATGCTACAGAGTGAGGAAGGACAGTTGACATTAGGGCATCAGAGGTCTTCACGCAAACCAGTAGCACTCTTGTTTCAATGCCTCTTTCTGAATTGCAGATCTGTGGTATGTTTTCACCTGTCAGCGGTGGCTGACAAGAGTGCACCTTTGGGTGTCCTTACCGCAAGGTGCAGAACAAGGTAGCGTTTATGCAAAAGAATGACTTGAGGAGAGTGTATTTTTCACATTTTGTCAGTCTGACCTTCATATTTTTCTCTTTTTAATGAGCATTTTAACTTGAATCCCTGTCCATTTTTACCTCTTTAGAGACTCCATTCTTTTGTTCTTTATTATCATGGATTGATGGAACTTAAAACGGGGAATAATCTTCTCGTAAATTATGTGCTAAACTAGGCTGGTTTTACTGGTTGTCTGCATGAAGGAACTTGAATTTAAATGGCTCTATAAAAGATCTTTGAGTCTTTGGGCATTTAATGGCCAGTCCTTTTCCGGATTTAGCCAACAGCTGGAGAATAGATTCAACCACTGCTCCATATCCATAATATTGCTCATGTACCACCAAGGCCAGTACCTTTGAAATATGAATAGTCTTCATTCATTAGCCTGCACCAGCCTTTACTCCATATGTGCACACATGTGAAAAAGCTCATTTAAAAGCACTTTTGTTTGGATACTCATTTAACTGTTGTTTTCTTTATTTGCTTTATCTTGTAGGAAAACCCCTATATGTGCAACAATGAGTGTGACGCAGCCACAGAAGAGCTGGCCCACCCCCCTGAGCTCATGTTCGACCATGAGGGCCGCAACCCCACCACCTTCTGGCAGTCCACCTCCTGGAAAAAATACCCTAAACCTCTGGTGGTCAACATAACCCTGTCATGGAACAAGACTATTGAGCTGACCGATGATATTGTCATCACTTTTGAGTCGGGTCGGCCAGAGCAAATGGTTTTGGAGAAGTCTCTGGACTATGGACGTAGCTGGCAGCCCTACCAGTTCTATGCTACCGACTGCCTTGACGCATTCACTATGGAGCCCAAAACGGTGAGGGACATTACCCAGCACACATTGCTGGACATCATCTGCACCGAGGAATATTCAAGAGGTTACGTGTGGAAGAACGACAAGACTGTACGCTTTGAAATCAAAGACCGTTTCGCACTGTTTGCCGGGCCCAAGTTGCACAATATGGCCTCGCTGTATGGACAACTGGACACCACCAAGAACCTGAGAGACTTTTTCACCATTACTGACCTGCGCATACGTCTTCTCAGGCCTGCCACGGGCGCCACCATGGTGGATGAGTACAACCTTTCCAGATACTTCTACGCCATCTCTGGCATTAAAGTACATGGCAGGTAAGACATTTAACTCAGTTGCAGTCAAATTTTGGTTGGGAATTGTTGCCCTCAGCTCTTTTCTTTTTTCATTTTCCTAACAAACCATGTTTCATTCTGTAGTTCTGTGTATTAGGAGGCAGGCAGGTGTACTTTGCTTTATATTTTTAGGGGTATGTTTTATGCGTAGGCTTGATTTATTTAAACAGCTAGACAGAACTACAGTGTATCGGACTTACAATTATTTTTAACAATATATAAAAAAGATCTGGGGGAAACATTTAGTGTACTTTGGGAATCAAGCAAAAACTACTGTTCTCATTAACGATTTAATTTCAGTGTGCGTGTTTTTTTCCAGAATGAGAACCTTATTGAAATTAGAAAGCTTTTTTAGATAGTTCTTCATGTTTTATAAAATTTTATTTTGTTGTATGTTTTATTTTATTCTATTTTATTTTTATATTTTAATAGTACACAGAATACAGGCTATTCTACAGTATTTCGTAAGTAATTAGCAAATGGATTGTTTTATTATAGGGGAATTAAACTGCGGAAAGTAGGCAAAGAAAGCTGATCCAAACTTCACATCAGAGTGTACTAGGGGTGCACCGATTGATCGGCCACCGATCACTATTGGCCGATAATCACGTTGGGATGATTGATCGGCGGTCTCTAAAAGGCCGATCTCAAAAAAACGATCTCAAGCTGATGACGCTGCCGTGAGAGGTTTGGCACGACATGCCGTGGCACCGTCTCAGTCTCTGTCCGGCACGGGTGAAATAATTATAATGAATATAGATAATAAGGTACTCAGCTTCATATTTCTTCATTAAATAATTTATAAAGTAATTTGAAAACCTTGTGTGAGGCGTAATTTCACAAACAACGCGAGTGAATCAGCGCGCAAGCTTTCTCTCTTTCTCTCTCAAAATACGCAAATG